TTTATCATTTAAGATAATACCTCCATGCCTTCTCAGGATCCTTGCATTATTAATTAATCACTCTGTCTCTCTCCTATATCTTCAGTCTTTTCTATATATTGGAGTCATTTCATCTGCCAAAAAATAATTCTTGTTTTCTCATGCTTAGAAAAAAATCATTCCACACCCTCCTCTAATTTTATTCTCTTATCTTTCCTTAACAATTACACTTCTTAAAGACTTGCCTGAATCATTCACTCAACTTCCTCCTATCACATTCAGTTTTCAGTACACCTACCCTGTCTTCTGCCTCAACAACTTCACCAGAATGGTTCTTTCTAAGGTTGCCAAGGACCTCCAGGTTGCTAAATTCAGAGCACATTTTTTGGTCTTCATTTTTCTTCTCCAGGAACAGCATTTGAATGAGTTCAACACTTTCTTCCTGAATTTCTTCTACTTTAACATTTATGATGCTTTGCTGCCTTGTTTTCCTCCTTTCTCTCTGCTCTTTCTTGATCTCTTTTGCAGGCTGCTCTTTCTTTATCTAGGCTTTAAATAAGGGCCTTCTCCAAATCTGACCTGTTCCTATATTTCTTCTTATCTGACACAGCCTCACTGATTCTGTGCTTTGCATTCATTCTTATACATACCATCTGTATATTCAGTTTCCTACAGAAATTTCTACTTATCTAGATGTCTAATAGGCATCTGAAACTTAACATGTCCAAAACAGAACAGATTTGCTGGTGGGAGTTGCTCTCTGCTAGTTACTATTTTCTCTATGAAGATTGAGTCTAGATTAATTATTCAGAGTGAAGGATGGTGTGTGTATGTGTGTGTGTGTGTGTGTGTGTGAAGGAGATGAAATTAGAGATTTTATGAGTCAAGAAAATTTGAAAACAATATTGTGTACAATGGAAGAAATAAGGTAATCAGAGAAATTTGGTAAGACTTTTGCTTATTCTGGGAAGAAGCATAATATTGGAAATTCTTATTTCCAAAATCCCTGACTTGAATTCTGGCTCTTTCACCTAGTAGCTTCGTGGCTTTGAGCAAGTTACTTAAACACTCTCTGAGCTACTGTTCTTTAGTGATCACTAATATTGGACCTAACTTTATAGCTTTTTGTAATTAAAGCTAATGTGCCTGGAACATAGTTAGGTGATCATCAGTTTCTATTCCATTACCAGAAACCTTACTCATTTGTATCCCATCTTCCTCTCTCACTCTCCATATGCAAATGATCTCTACATTCTGTCTCTCTACCTCCTAAATAGCTTTTGGACTCATCTTCTCCACTACTTCCGTAACTTTAGTTTAAAACACTATCATCTCTTCACTGAATTACTGTCATGGACTCCAAATTGGTTCTGCTTTTTAAGTTGTTCCTCACACTAGCTGCTACTGCAATCTTTCTAAATCTTTCTAAATTTTAACACATTTCCAGTGCTTTCACTTCTTTCTTGTATGCTTTCAAGGGTCTTCACTTTCTGCCTCCTGAGATGGGAGGTGTGTTATTTCGCTATTGCTGTTATAACAAATTACTATAAATTTAATATCGTAAAACAACAAACATTTATTAGCTCTCAGATCTGTGAGCCCAAAGTCTACACAGTGTGGCTGGGTTCTATGCTCAGGATATCACAAAGTTGAAGTTAAGGTGTCAGCTAAACTGAATTCTCTTATAGAGACATGGAGGAGAATGCTTGAAGTCCTATTCTTTTACTGGATGTTAGCTGGGAACTGCTCTCAGCTGGAGGGTATTCTTGGGTACTTGCATGGTTCCCTCCTCCATCCTTAAGCCAATTACAGTCACCAAGATCCCCTCCATTTTCAAGCCATCAACAGTGTGTTGAATACTTCTCAATCTTCAAATAGGATCTGATTTCCTCTTCTGCTGCCATACAGAGGAAACTTGTAATTTGGAAAGTAGTCAGATTATATCCTGCAGTTGAGGTCAACTTATTAGTAACATTATTCTACCTGCAAAATCCCTTTGTCATATAACATAATCATGGAAGTAGCTTCTCATCATATTCATAGGTCTTCTCACACTTAAGAGAAAATTATACAAGGGTAAGACTTATTGGGGGTCATCTTTTAATTCTGCCTATCCCAGGAGAGGAAACAAGCCAGGGAAAACATCCCTAAGTTGAGATCAGATGGATAAAAGTTAATTAAGTAAAGAAGGAAAGGAGAAACTTCCAGAGAACATGTGCAAAGGCCATGTAACTGGAGGATTCATAGCAAAGAAAAAAAGTGAGGTGCTAAAGAAAGGCCAGTGAATCTGCAGTGTAAAGAATAAGAACTATAGTGACTTGAAATGTGATGGCTAGAGAGGTGAGTAGAAGTCAGGCCATGTGGGCTTTATAGATCTGTTTAAACAGGCATCCTCAAACTACGGCCCGCGGGCCACATGCAGCCTGCCTAGGACATTTATCTGGCCCACTGGGTGTTTTTGCTGCCACTGCCTGTCCTGCTTAGCAGCCGACTCATCCTGGGGCCCTGCAGTCTGGCCCTCTAACAGTCTGAGGGACAGTGAACTGGCCCCCTGTTTAAAAAGTTTGAAGACCCCTGTGTTAAAAGGTCTTCTTCATCCCAAAGCAAATGTCAGAATAGTGGCACAATCAGATTCATATTCTGAAGATATCACTTTGGCTCTAAGGTGGAGATGGAAGTAAGGAGGCATCAGTAAAATGTGGTGGCCCACTTAGGAGGCTAGGAGAAGAGTGCAAGAGTAAGGTAATGTCAGTGGATAAACAAGCTGACCGATTCAAGAAACACTCAGTAGCTAAAATCAACAGGACTTCATGATTGATTGGATACAGGAGTGAGGTAGTTATGTTCCCCAGGAAGCAGACTCTAAAACAAAGATTACTGTGGAGGATGTTTACTAAGGAGAGCGCTCGGAGTCAACACCTGTGCAAAAGAGAGGATGAATTGGATTGGGTAAAAGGAAAGCTGAGCAGTGACTCAGTCCCAACGATGTTCACAACCCCATGAAGAACTCTGGGGTTGTGAACATCTTTCAGAGTTATCCTCCATTAGGGTGAGGGGACTAAACCTTTATACTTCTGTGCTGATCAGTCACTAGATTCAGGAGCTCCAGAAAGGGAACACAACCTTGAATGAGCTGGCTTTCTTCTGCTCAGGCAGCTCCTGCAGGGGGTTGACAGTTGAAGGCCATCTTTCAGCAGCACTCTCAGAGGCTGGAGAATAAATCCTTGATTTTTGAAAAAGAGAGTATGGACTTTGTGTCACAAGGGTGAAAGAGCATAAGGGAACAAGGAATCAAGGATGATCCCTACATTTCTGAGGTGTGTGTTTTGGTGGATGTCCTTAGTGACCATAAATTGCAATCAATGGCTTACTTGGGAAAATCCCCACCACAGTGGGAGGTGCTTCTCAGGGACAGACTGTATGGGACAACCACTGCACAGCCCTATAACTGGCACATAGCTTGCTGAATAAGTGAATGCCTGTCTCCTATTTCCACTCTTCTCTCCCCTATATCCTCCCATCATCCAATGTGAGAAAAGTCCAGCAGGTTATCTGAGGCTCCACCTGTGCCAGTGCTGAACAAACAGCAAATCAAGCTCCTCTGATGCAGGGTTCACTGATGGGCCAGGCAGGGAGTACTAGGAAGAAAGGAAAACGGGAGCAGGTGATGACATCCAGACCCACCCCAGGCTTAAACCCTCCCTCAGTGCTTCAGCCCCTAGAAATTCAGTGCTGGCTGGACAAGGTCTTCTCCAAAAGATTGGATAAGGGCTTTCTGAATTTCCCATAAACCCAGACCACATTCTTTAATCTGCTCTTCCGCCAATGTCCCCACCTCTTACAGCTACTGCTGGAGACCAGAAGATGGAATTTCACTTCCTATTAGTTTGTTTAGAATTGAAAACAGACAGCAAGGCTGAAATCGCAGAGAAAGCAAGTCCTGCCGCCCCAAACTGAACCCACTTCAGTAACACGCACCATTCAGCCTTATTCCTGCTGCACCCCGGTGACCCAGTCCTGTTCCAGCCCCCTCTCGTGGGAACCGGCCACCCTACACAGGCGGCTCCATGTGCTCTGAGAGCAAACAGGGAGCGTCAGCGTGTCGCATAGAGGTGGGCGCTGCCTGGAGACCGCAGAGAAAGCCAGCTGCTTCCTCGCCTCTTTTGCCTGCTCTGGGGCAGGATTGAAACTATACTCCACCCTCACTTCATCTGGGTTTGTCCTGGGCAGTTCTTGCCACCACCCTCAGCCGTCCTCAACACCCGAGTCACACTCTTCCTTCAGGGAGTCCTTTTCCCTGCCAAGGCTTTTCTGAGGGTACACGGCGCCCCCCAACCCCTATCCCGCTACTGAGGGTTCCCTGGGAGCCTTAGATGGACGTCTGTGTTTTGGGTCTCAGATCGTAAGTGGAAGGTGCGGGGACAGATGTAGTGGCTACCCCAGCCCCGCAACAAGAAGCTTAAGGGAAGTACTATGGTAGTGATAGTGTCACGGTCACTTCGTCCCCTGCAGCCTAGTACGGTAAACGCGGCGCTAATCATAGGCTAAGGCACCTTGGCCGCAGCGAGTGACGCATACAGACCTACTCTCCTACGCCACCTCATGTCCCCTGACCCACCAGAGAAAGATGCTGGATCCAGCAGCAAGCAGCTCTCCGTCGCACCCCTCCTACGCTCCTTCTCCCTATGCTGACAACGCGCGCGCGCACACACACACACACACACACACACACACGATTTCCCAGGACTCAGGAGCGGTGGTAAAAGAGAGGAGGGCAGGAAAGAAAGCTCTAAGAGAAGACTGGAGAGGTCAGGGGAGGGGGTAAGCTTGGAGTACAGTTACTCAGGGAGGCGTGTTAACTCCGGAGCGGAGGAGGAGGCGGAGAGTCACCTGGGGGGACTGAGACAGACCAGAGCAGAGGAGGGACGCAAACCAAGGCGTGGCGAGCCGAGGGGGAGTGAAGGGGCAGGGGCAGGGGCCGGGGTTGGGGGCGGGGACCGGGCGGTGAGCGGAGTTGGGTGGGCGGGAGCCTGAGCCGGAATCGCCGCGTGAGCAGGTGGAGCCGCTGCGGGTGGCAGCCGGGCCGAGCTGAGTAAGGCAGCGGGCTCGGCGGGGGCCATGGAGCTGCTAAAGCTGAACCGGAGCGTGCCAGGATCCGGACCTGGGCCGGGGGCTTCCCTGTGCCGCCCAGGTGGCCCTCTCCTTAACAGCAGCAGCGCGGGCAACCTCAGCTGTGAGCCCCCTCGCATCCGTGGAACCGGGACTCGAGGTGGGTACCTCCCTTAGCCCCCTCTACAAGCTCCTCACTGCACCCCATAATACTGACAGAGGTCCCTGACGACCCCTACACTACCTCCTCATATGCCTACCCTATTTCCCTCATTAGTATTCCCTTGGCCCCCAAAGAGCTCCCCCTCATATATTCACCCCTTACCTCCACCCCACAACCGCTTACAACTTCATCACAGCTTCATACTACCCAGTCAGAACTCCTTTAAATCCTGGTCCCCTGGTCACATCCAGAGCTCCTGTTCACCCCAGAACACAGCATACACACACCCCCAATATAAATTCTCCTCCTAGGTACAGACAGTTGGGAGGCAAGGACCTCTTCTTGCCAACCCTCTATTTCCCTTTGAGATTCAGTTCACAGAGCCACTATTGGCAAGGGAAGGAAGAAAAAGCCCAGACTGGGAGAAGAAGGGAACTGATAGACAGAAAGAGCACTCTGGAAGGCCTGAATGGGAAATTAGAGTTATAATCTCCTGCGTCCTCCATCCTAATGCCTAACCTTCTCAAAAACGGTCCTCAAATCTGAATTAGGCTGAACAATGGGGAGAGCACTGTAGAGCTGCCTATCTCCATTTCACTCATGCTCAAACCTCTCTGCCTCCCAGGTTGGAGTTCCCAATCTGTGCCTTCTCTCATTCAGTCTCCTCATTATATCTCCAAGTCCCTGCCAAACCCTAGACTACTAGTCCCTAAGCTAGGTATTGGGGACACAGGGTTGAACTAGCTCTAGTCTGGACCCTCATTAGTCCACAGTAAAGTTCAAAGGAGAAACAAGCAGATGGAAAAATCAGTCAGTATGGAAGTCCCATGAGAGAATCTAAACTGTTGGCACCTGAAAAAAATGAAGTCTGAGAACTTCACAGAGGATGGAACCTGGGAGCTGAGTCTTGAACTTAGATTAGAGTTCAGTGGACAGAAAAGGAAGAAGTGAAATTCTAGGCAAGGGAATGATGTTAAGCAGAGGAAATTATTCTAAACTCAAGAAGGGAAAGTTGGAATAAATTGTAATCCAAAGTATTTATTTACCTCACAAAATAATCCATGCTTTCTCAGCCCAGTTATTATGCACTCTCACTTAGAGTCTATCATTCAACAAATATTTATTGAACAGGAGACTGTGCTGGGCAGTGAGGAAGAAAATTGATACAATTCCTACTTCATGGAGTTCAGAGTTTAGAGGGTAAGACAGACAAGTAAGCGGGGAATTGCAGCACAAAGTGGAAATGCTTTGGTAGGGGGGAAATGTGGAAGCATAAAAGGAGCACCTCTAGCCTAACCCAGCCTTGGGAATTAAGGTTGGCCTCCTGAGGAGGTGAGATACAAATTGAAATCAAGAAGATGAAGGAGAGCTGCCAAGTGAAGGGGCAGGATCCCAGCCAGAGAGACAGGATGTGTAAAAAGCCTAAAGTTTAAATCTATGACACTTTTGTCCAATATGACATAGTCTCTGAGTGGCTAGAACATGTTCCATAAGAGGGGAATAATAAACAGGCTGGAGACCAGCCTAGAGGGTTTTCAGAGAGCCTGATAGATCTGGCTAAGGACTATGGATTTTATCTAAAGGCAATACGAAGTACTGAAAGATTCAGTGGTATGGCCAGGATTAATTCTGTAGTGCAGAGGATGGATTGAAGGACATGAGATGGAAGGCAGGGGAATACTTTAGAAGTTTATTATATTACACTGATAGGGTTGAAAGATGATGCTAGCTTAGACTAGAGTATTGGCAATGGGGATAGAGAGAAGTGGATGGATTTGAGAGCTACTTCTGGAAAAGGTATTGACAGAACTTGGCAATTGATTAGAAGTAGAAAGCAGAAGAGGTCAAGGGATGACATCCAGGTTTCTGACTTGAACAACTGAATGAATGTAGGTGCTATAGATAATGAGAAAGATAACAAAGGAGCAGAAGTGCTGGCTGGAAGAGGAAGTTATATATTCAGTTTTGAGCTAACTGAGTTTAAATGCTGGTCAGATATCCAGGTGAGATTCCCCAGGAAGCTATTTAATTGAGGGATCTGGGACTTACAGGAGCGGTCTGAGGTGGAAATACAGATTTGAAAGGTCTTTTCCTAGAGAAGGTGGAAGCCATAAAAATATATAATTTCATAAAAGATTGTATAGAATGAAAAGAGTAGAGGTCCTTGGATAGGATCCTGAAGAAGACCAATATTTAAAAGCCAGACAAAGGAAGGAGAGTTCATGAAGGAGATTCAGATGAAACCATCAGAGACAGGACTACATCCTTCCAGAGGGCAAGGAAACAGTTTCAAGCAGGGTAAAACAAGTGATGTCCAATGCTTCCGAAAGAAGTCAGATAAGGACAGGAGTCAGAATAGCATCCTTTGGATTCAATAACAAAGACGTTCTTAGGAGGAGTTGCAGGTATTGAGGCCTAACTATAGTAGGTTGAAGACTAGGGCAGTTGAGGGGTGAGTGGATTATGAGACTTGAACCAGGTGTGTAGACAAAACTTTCAAGAAGTTTGGTAGAGAGAGAGAAGCAGAAAAACAGTACAGGGTCAAGCATAGCATGGGATTGAGGATAAAGGTAATGCAAGTATTGGTCTGTCTTTTGAATGCGTGTGTATGTTAAGTAGAGGCAAAAGCACTTTATATTTTGGAAAATGGACCAAGAAAGAGAAAATACAAAGGTACAGATGGGAAAGTGGCTAGTCAATAGAACAGCAGCCCCCAAGAAGGCAGAATGTGAAGCCATCCAGAGCACAGATAAAAGAACTGGCCTCACTAGCCTGGATGCTGTTGCTCACGTACATGTAGATGCTACCCAGATAGGCAGACCTTACATATAGAGATCCTGTTTGCCACACCCATTCGGGCATAACCCCCACAGATGCATATTACTCAAGCTTACTCCAATGTTATAGAAATTTAGATGTTATCACTTTAGTTTATATAATCTATGTAAGTTTGAATCTACCCAAGTTCACACAAATGCTATCCACAAAAGGACAGATATTACCACCCTCACTTTAACCTTGCCTGTAATCATTTAGAAGTTACCTATCCATCAAACTCTACCCATTTCTATCTTGTTATTATCCACTCACAATCAGACATTACCTATGCCAACTTTAGTGAACCTTTTCTAGATATGACCCTTAAAATCACAGATATTTTTCTCACATATTCAGGTATTGCCCACAAAGTCTCAAATATTATCTACATTCACTCAGATGCTTAGTTATTTTGCTCAATTGGATTATCATCTTAACTTGGTAACATCCCACACCAATACTCATTTAAATACTGCCCATGCATACTTAGATATTATATCTACTCACTCAGCTGTTAGTGTCATCACTTGGATATCCCCCCATTCACATAAAGAACTCTGAACATAACCCATGTTTCCTGAAGATGCTACCTAAAAAGTGAGATGCTATCTCCAGAGCTGGGTACTACCTTACCTTTCAAATGTCATAGCACTTATTCTGATATTATCTCAACTTAAATGTAACCCACACTCCATTACATATTGCCTAAAGACATGTATATGTTACACATCTCCAAATATTGCACATAGTAGTGTTACATTTGCCCACCCAAGTATTATGTCAAAGACTAAAGTGTTATCTAATGCTCATTTTATATGCCCTTGCAACTTGCTTTTGCTTCCTCAATCGGTATCCACTGACACTTGGATGTCCCCCATTCACCCACCTATTACAGATAGTCATTGGATGTGATCCCTGATTACTGCAGAGATATAAGTCTTACTTTAATGTCTGTGTGCATGGGTGGCAGATCTAACATGCTAGTGCAGGGTAGAATTCGAAGCATCAGCAGCTTCAGTGTTCTGTGGAGTCCTTTCTTAGCAAAATCTGGCTTTCATTTTATGCCACATGCTCTGAATTTTTGTGTTCATACTTCCCTGACATCATCTGGACAGAACAAATACATCCCCAGGAAAATGTTACCCACAGGTAGATTATCAAGGCACAAGTGGCTGTACCCCAGAAGGTGCTGTCTCCCATCCTTCCACCCTGCCTTAGGTTCCTAGTCACTAAAGCCACTGCACTCACTCACATTCCAACACACAAACACACGTGGATGTACACACACACGGTTCTTAATTCTGATGTACTTTGTATGTTTATGAATTTTTAAAATTAATAGACTATTTTTAAAACAGTTTGGGGTTTACAGAAAAATTGAACAGAAAGTACAGAGAGTTCCCGTACACATACACACACACAGAGTTTAAACCTTAATAGTGACATTTTGCATCAATGTAGTACATTTGTCATAATGTAGTACAAGCCAATATTGACATATTATTAACTAAATTCTATAGTTCACATTAAGATTCACTTTTTGTTTTGTCCAGTTCTATAGGTTTTGACAAATATATACTGACATGTATCATACAGAACAATTTTGTTGCCCTCAGAATCCCCTCTGCTTCGCCTATTCATCCCTCCTTCCTCTCCCTAAACCCTAGGCTCTAAAATTTCTTTTAATTAGAATTTTTCATATCTCCTAACTATTCAACAGCAAAGACCTGGAGAGATTTTAGTAGCTGAGAATAAGGTAATAGCTAAGAATGTTCAGTAAGACTGCAAAGTACTGTACGATTTTTAGTCATTTTTGTTGGCATTTTGTCCTGTAATTTTTGGAAGTCCCTAACCAGATGAGAAACTTTGTAAGTAATATTTAGCTTCATCTTTTGGTCCCCCACAGCTAAGTTCAAGGGCACACGTGGGGCACATCAACTGAATGGATGAATGAGAAATGTACTTTACACATTTCGGAGTGCTGTACCAACTTAAGATGTGGCAACTGCATCAAGAATTAATTAAAGAGAAACATACAGAGGAGTATGTGAAAGAGGTGATGGAACTAGAAAAATTAAAGAGGTGGAGGGTGGGGTTAGGAGAACAATGGACACTGAAAGTACAAGATAGACCACCAGCTCTTTTTGTCCTGAGACCAGGTACTTCTTTGACAGAAGTCTTCCAAATGTTCTTTATTTTTCCCTACACACACACAAAAAGACACAAATAGTTTGCATATGAAAGTTATTTATCCAAAACCATAGCCTTTCATTGACTCTCCAAGGGCCTTCCAACATGCATCTCCAAAGAGACAGAAGCAGAGAAGAGAACATGTTAGAGCATCTCCACGGAGGTGAGAGATGGGGGAGAAAGGGAGAAGCAGGTGCATTTCTCACTTGAAAGGCAAATTCACTCAATATTCAATAACAAGCATGTGTTGACTACCTGCTATATAATGGACATTCTATCAAATGGTAGGGAAATACTTGTTCCTGAGTTCCTCAAGAAGCTCATGCTCTTATGAGGAAGATAGAAAATTAAATATAATACAACGAGAAATGCCATGATTGAGTACAGAGAGAGGGAGAAAGATTGAGATTGGACTGAGAGGAGGAGGAAGTATAATGAATGACAGGGTAGCCAGAGAACAATGGGAAGAAAAGCATTTTAGAGATCCAGAGACTTGGCTTCTTTTCGAATTCATCCCTTTATTAGTTATGTGGTCCTAAGCAAATAATGGTTACTGCTGACTTCAGCTCAGGGATATCATATAAATAGCACTTCTTTGATGGCTATAACTTCTAAATAAGTTGGTATTGTTATGAGAAAATAACAGTCATGCATTACCTAACAACAGGGATACATTGTTAGTGAAATTTATTGTTAGGTGATTTCACCATTGTGTCAACATCATAGAGTGCACTTATGCACAAATTCAGATGATATATCAGCTTAATTCACATCTAGGCTATAGACTATTGCTTGCAGGCTATAAACGTGTACAGCATGTTACTGCACTGAATACTATAGACATTAATTAAGACAGTGGTAAGTGTGTGTGTATCTAAACATATCTAAACATAAAAAAGGAACACTCAATATACAGTGTAAAAGATTTTTTTTAAATATTATACCTATACAGGGCATTTGCCAGGAATGGAGCTTGCAGGACTAGAAGTTGGTTTGGGTGAATTGATGAGTGAGTGGTGAGTGAATGTGAAGACCCAGGACATTACTGTGCACTACTATAGAATTTATAAACACTGTACACTTAGGCTACATTATGTTTATTTTAAAGTATTTTTGTTTCTTCAATAATAGATTAATCTTAGCTTACTGTTACTTTTTGAGTTTAAAAACTTTTTTTTAACTTTTTGACTCTTTTGTAGCAACACTTAGCTTAAAACACAAACATGTGGTATACCTGTACAAAAATATTTACTTTTGGCTCAGCACCCATAGCACAGTGTTTACAGCACTCGCCACATACACCAAGGCTGATGGGTTCGAACCTGGCCTGGGCCAGCTAAACAACTACAACAAAAAAATAGCCAGACATTGTGGTGGGCACCTGTAGTCCCAGCTACTTGGGAGGCTAAGGCAGGAGAATCGCTTAAGCCCAAGAGTTTGAGGTTGCTGTGAGCTGTGAGGCTACAGTGCTCTACCGAGGGCAACATAATGAAACTCTGTCTCAAAAAAAAAAATTTACTTTCTTTCTATTCTTATTCTATAAACTTTTCTCTATATTTATCCTTTCCTTTTTTTTTTTTTTTTTTTTACTTTTTAATCTTTTTGTTAAAAACTAAGACACAAACACACACATTAGCCTGGACCTACCTAGAAAGTCAGGATCATCGATATCAGTCAATGTCTTCCACTTCCATATCCTGTCCCACTGGAAGGTCTTCAGGGAAATAACATGCATGGAGTTGGCATCTCTCATCATAATGATGCCTTCTTTTGAAATAACCTCCTGAAGAACCTGCCTACAGCTGTTTTAAAGTTTACTTTTCTTTTTCATAAGTAGGAGTATGTTCTAAAATAATGGTAAATGATAAATACATAAACCAGTAACATAGTCATACATTATCAGTATCAAGTATTATGTACTATACCTAATTATAAAATAATGTATGTGCTAGACTTTTTTAAGACTGGCTGTGCAGTAGGTTTTTTACACCAGCATCAACACAAACAAACTCAACGAATAATGTGTTGTCCTTGACATTACACTAGACAACAGGAAATTCTTGGCTTTATTATAATCTTATGAGAACACTGTCATATAAGCAGTCTATCTTTGACTGAGGCATCATTGTAAGACTCTTGGTTGCACTTTAATTTAGGAGCTAGGACAACCAGTGTATGAGTCTGTGGAAGAGAAGGCTATGGCTTTGATCCCTTCCATCTTCTCAACTTGGGAAGCTCTGCTTCTGCCCTCTCTCCTTTTGAGCACCAATCTCCCTCATATGTGGCCCTCGGTGTGGGTGATTCAGTCCAGATCTGCTTGGCTGTGATATGAAAGTCCAAAGATGAATCCATCTTTCAAAAGTCAATGACACAAACAAATGAGGTCAATCTCCAAGCCCCTCTGCCTTGCCCAGCAAAACTAGTGCCCACCTGTGAGCTCCTATAGTACCTCATACATTCTCAAAGCTCACTCCTTACTACACCATGTGCCAATTATCTCTTTATGTATGTGTGTCTGAGTTTCTCTCTCCACTGTGAGCTCTCAGATGACAAGGAGTTTGTCATGTTTATCTCTTTATCCCCAGTGTCTGGCAGAAAGAGGGTCCTCTATAAATGTTTGTTGAGTGAGAATGAAAGTTTGGAGATAATTAAAATATAAAGCAGAAAGTAAAAAGGGCTCTAATAGTTGTATAAGGAACATGCATGGGTCAGAGGAAGGGGAGATTTAATACCAAATGAAATGTCCAGAAAGGCATTACAGAAGAGATAATAGTCAGTTTGAGTCTTGATGGACAAGGAATGAATAGGAATTCACCATCTACAGAAAATAAGCTTGTGATAGGGAGATGGAAGTGGAGAGGAGGGTTGGTGAAAGAATATTCCAGGCTGGAAAACCAACCTGAGCATGCAGGGAGTCACAAGTGTACATGATGCATTCAAAAAACTGAGTCATCCAGTAGCTTAAGTGGGTGTAGTGCATGGAGGAAGTGGGAGGAGAAAGAGGGCCTTCTCAGAGAATCTTGATGACATGCTAAGGGGTCACAGACAGTAAAGAGTAAGTGAAGAGTGTGGGATTTTGTTTTGTTTTGTTTTTTAGAGAATGAGCATATGATCTGTTGTGGTTCAAAAGGTAGTGAGTGGGTGGTCCACTGTGTCAAATACTACAGGAATGCCAAGTAGAGGAGGCTAAGAAGGACCTTTGGATTTGGTAGTTAAACATTAGTGTCATTGGGAAGAAGTATCCAAATGGTGATGGTGTACAGAGCATTGCATTAGAGTGAATGGGAAGACACAAATATAGTCCTTTCAAGAAGTTTGGCTGCAAAGAGAAGAAAGCATTTGGAACAAACCTTGAGAAGAGACAGAATGGCTTAAGGAAGGGTAGAGTTAGGCCAGTTTGGCTGAGCCTTAGGGGTAAAGGATTCAAACTCCTTGTTTATTGAATGGGTCAAGATGTGGGTATGGGCTCGAGATTTAGGAATCTGGCTGGGTAGTGAGGGTTGGGGTTGAGAGGGATAGAGGTTTGGCTGAGTGAAGGGCTGACCCCTACTGCCACCTCTTCCTTTTCCTGTCAGAATTGGAGCTGGCCATTAGAGTCACGCTTTATGCAGTGATCTTCCTGATGAGCGTGGGAGGAAATGTGCTCATCATCGCGGTCCTGGGACTGAGCCGTCGCCTGAGGACAGTCACCAATGCCTTTCTCCTCTCACTGGCTGTCAGCGACCTCCTGCTGGCTGTGGCCTGCATGCCCTTCACCCTCTTGCCCAATCTCATGGGCACATTCATCTTTGGCACAGTCATCTGCAAGGCAGTTTCCTACCTCATGGGTGAGTGACACAACCACCCCACCACCTCTGCCCCTCTCTCCTCCTAAGGGATGTAGAGGTCTTTCCCAGTTGAGGGAGAGATGGAGGGAGTCACATAGTGAGTGTATAGTGCACGTTTCTAGATGTTTCTTTTCTCTTCCTTTGCTTAGGGGTGTCTGTCAGTGTGTCTACATTAAGCCTCGTAGCCATCGCCCTGGAACGGTACAGCGCCATCTGCCGACCACTACAGGCGCGCGTGTGGCAGACGCGCTCTCACGCAGCTCGTGTGATCGTGGCCACCTGGCTGCTGTCTGGACTGCTCATGGTGCCGTACCCCGTGTACACCGTCGTGCAACCAGTGGGGCCTCGTGTGCTGCAGTGTGTGCATCGCTGGCCCAGTGCGCGGGTCCGCCAGACCTGGTGAGGGTACCCACAGCCTATCCGAGCAATTCCCTTCTCCAACTCCATCAGATGCTTATGACCATTCACCAAAGCCTGCCTCCAGCTGCTCCAAGAACTATCACGCCAATTCCCATTCCACATCTATCACCTCCACCACCCTGGGATTCCAATTTGAGGGTCCCTAGCCCTTCCCAGCAGTACCCCCAAATCATACTCCTACCTCAGATATCTGGTCACAGCTGTAGAAACACCAAGCCTTGGCTCTTTCTCCATCTGTGATTAGAGATGGACAGAAACCCAAGTGACAGGGCTTTCTGTGTTCCGTCTCCAGGTCGGTACTGCTGCTCCTGCTCTTGTTCTTCGTCCCTGGTGTGGTTATGGCCGTGGCCTATGGGCTTATCTCCCGTGAGCTCTACTTAGGGCTTCGCTTTGACAGTGACAGCGAGAACCACAGCAGGGTCCGAAGCCAAGGAGGACTGCCAGGCGGTGCTGGACCAGGTGGGCAAAATCCAGGAGAGGCAGTTGTTTGGGAAGGGGCACGGCCTACTGGAGTGGGTGAGACAGAAGAGAGAGCCAGAATGGGGGGTAGGGGAAGAAAATGCGGAGACTAGTTGGTCAGGTGGAAATTGGGTTGGTGACTGGGAAGACTCTGCCTTCTACTCTGACTGCCCACTCTGTACTCAGCTCCTATCCACCAGAATGGGCATTGCCGGCCTGAGACCAACCTGGCTGGAGAGGACAGTGATGGCTGTTATGTGCAACTTCCACGTTCTCGGCCTGCACTGGAGTTGTCAGCGCTGACAGCACCTACTCCTGGGTCAGGATCCGGAACACGGCCTACCCAGGCCAAGCTGCTAGCTAAGAAGCGTGTGGTGCGAATGTTGCTGGTGATCGTTGTGCTCTTTTTCCTGTGTTGGTTGCCAGTGTACAGTGCCAACACATGGCGTGCCTTTGATGGCCCAGGTGCACACCGTGCACTCTCAGGTGCTCCAATCTCCTTCATCCACTTGCTGAGCTATGCCTCGGCCTGTGTCAACCCCCTGGTCTACTGCTTCATGCACCGTCGCTTTCGCCAGGCTTGCCTCGAAACATGTGCCCGCTGTTGTCCCCGGCCTCCACGAGCTCGCCCAAGGCCTCTTCCAGATGAGGACCCTCCCACCCCCTCCATTGCTTCCCTGTCCAGGCTAAGCTACACTACTATCAGTACCCTGGGGCCTGGCTGAGGGGTGGTGGGGGAGTGAGGGCTGAGGCAGGGCAGATGAAGGCACTGACCCATCCATACACACAAAACACACCAACCACAGCTAACACAAGCTACTGATACCAAACAGCCTGGACTAACCCCAATGCACAGGAAAAGGTAGTTTATCTGACACAAAAGAAACAAGATGGAGCCCTATGCAGGAAAGGAGGCATACTTCTGATATGGGACAGAGCCCAGCCCTGAGAAACATGGCACTGACCTTGGACAGATGCAGACACAGCATTCCTAGCAATGAACTATTTCTATACAGTGGGAACTTCAACAAGGACTGATCTGCCTCTAACAAACATAGATTAATGCCACTGATTCCTTTAGGGGCTATAAAGCCTGGCATAGGACTGAGTCCTGGGATACTCCAGTCTGACCCCAGTTTGACTTCACAATGCCCTTCTTCAACCAGCACTGAAAATACCATCAGACCTAATCTCACACCCTCCTGACCAGCAGGCTGTGTTGCACTGAAAACTCCCTTCATCCCTTTCCAGTTAAGAACTATGGCTCTACCCCCTCCTTCCTTACCCAAACTCTTCAAGGAATAATAAATGACTTAGCTTCCTCCTGGAATTTATTCCTGGACTTTTGGGGGGCAGGTGAGGAGGCAAGGAATTTTATGGTGTTGTGTCTCTCAGGTCTTTCTCACTGCTGCCCATTCTTATGTGTGTACAACCGCTGCCAAAAAATTCATGGTCTGAGGCTCAATGTGTATTCTTTCTGGTTGTCACCCTGGACCTACCCACACTCCACTGTCATAACAGGGACTGGGGGTAGGAGGTAGTATATCCATGACACATCATGATTCCTGATCACATTCTCCCAAAATGGTCCCATTGTTAAACTACTATATTAATGGATTTTTATTAAAATTTTGATGAAAAGATAAAAGAGTAAGCACTGTATAATAAGAACCAGTTTATTCAATGTGTGTTGAAACATCAGGGACCTAGGCTTGGCACCTTGTAGCTCAAGCGGCTAAGGCACCAGCCACATATACCAGAGCTGGCAGGTTCAAATCCAGCCTGGGCCTGCCAAATAACAATGACAACTACAACCAAAAAAGAGCTGGGCATTGTGGCAGACGCCTGTAGTCCCAGCTACTTGGGAGGCCGAGGCAAGAGAATCACTTAAGCCCAGGAGCTGGAGGTTGCTGTGAGCTGTCATGCCACAGCACTTCACCCAGGGCAACAGCTTGAGGCTCTGTCTCAAAAAAAAAAGAAAAGAAAAGAAAAATGGGGTAGCGCCTGTGGCCAAGTGAGTAGGACACCGGCCCCATATACCAAGGGTGGCAGGTTCAAACCCGGCCCCGGCCAAACTCCAATAAAAAAAATCATCCCCTATGTCAGAACCTGGCCAAGAGTCTGCCAAATGGAAGTACACTATAAGCCACAACAACAAAGAGGCCAATGACTGGGAGGGAGGAGGTATCTAAGTGTAAATGAGTGAGTGTCTGAGAACTCAGCCTCCCATTTGACTATAAGATTAATCTAGCCTCAGAAAGAGATGGAAACCAGCAATATTACCTCTCCACACAAAGAAAAGCAGATGAGGAAAACCAGGAACTGAGGATCTCACCAAGGGGACATACATGGATAATCAGAGGCATAACATGCTGGAAGAAGGATGTCTTGACACTTCATCTTGTGACAAACAGGGAAACTGAGACCCAGAAAAAGACAAAAATAATCATACTGAAGTAAACACTAACCTGGAGATATGGAAGATCCAAGTCTTGGGTGGGTGCCCTTTAAAAAAGAAACTCAAAATTACAGATACAAAATTGCTAGGACCCTGACCATGAGCTTGGAAGAAACCTATGCAAGTGAGGAGCCCTGAAATTTAAATTTTGTTAGCTTTACAGCCAACGTGCCACTAAAATCCACCCACTAATTACCCTGGAGAAAGGCTGGATGGAGCGAAGGACAGAAGCAAGCATGGGTCTTCTGTTTACCAGGGCTAAAGTTGCTCCCATCCTTCCTTTCTATAGGATTCTGGGCTGCAAGAGGCAGGAGGAAGGAAGAAAAGGAGGGAGAAGGCGTTCCAAGCTGTCAACCTACGACAGTGCTGGTTAAAAATAGAATCCCAGCTGGTCTGAGCAGCTGAAGGCAGATATTGGGCTTTTCTCTTGCATGCCAACTTTTCTGCAGGGTAGGAGTAGGCTTGCCCTTAAGCTCCCCAGCACTCCCCACTGTCCCCTCTGAAGGGATCACCAAGGCTGCCCCACTGTTAGGCCCTCCAGCTAGGGCCTGCACTCCAGATGACCACCCGGGGGAGCAGGGAGCTGGGTAGGGAAAGGCTGGGGCAGCCTCTGAGCCTGGAGTGTGTACCTGCATGCAATGGCCTGGGTTTAGCCCAGAACCTAGCATACAAGCCTAGCCCATTTCAGATATGCTTCAGGCCTTTAGTTACATAACATGTATGTCTCCATCATCCACCACTATGCTCTATCCAGTTTCCAGGTGTGAGATCTTGGGCTCTTCCCATGAAGTCCTGCAGGGTTACTCTAGCAAAGCTTGTATGCTCAGGCAGTACTCACTGCTTTCTCTCTTCCTTCATACTCATTTGTGTTCTGGCCTGATTTCTCCCATTTGGCTGGGAACAGCATGATGTAGTAGGAAGATAACAGAGCTTGTTTGAGTGATTGGGGGTTGGGAAGGGATTATGTAATCTAATGTTTCTTGGTGCTCTGTGACCGGCATTTTGTGTACACTGATTCATTGCATTCTCAGAACACATTCATAGAACATTTCCCTTCATCCAACAGATGAGGAAAGTGAAGCAAAGAAAGCTTAAAGGGAGTTATAGCGGGTCGGACAGCCAGACAAGAGCCAACAACTAAGCTCAGAAATCTGACTTGAAAGCTTTTTCTTTTTCCATTATACTGTGTTCCCTTCTTTCCAGTCTTGAAGACCTTTCCAGTCCTGCTCCTTCCTTTAAAAAGTCATGTGATTTTATGCAAGTTGTCTCAGTGAGTTTCGCTCTCAGCTGTAAAATAAGAATAATTATATTAATCTCATACTGCCATGCTGAAAATTAAGTAAAACAAGGCTTATTAAGTGCTTCTTGCTGTACTAGGCACATAGCATGAGAAGAGTTTGATTTGAGGTTGCAACAACGCCAGGAAAAAAAGACAGACAGCTATCATAACTAACAGGGACAGAACTCTGGGTCCAAGGGGAGGCTTAGGGCCTGTTATAAGAGGATATTAAAAGGTAGTGAATTTGAACCCAGGTCTGCCTGATCCCAAAGCCCGTACTCTCTTTTCGGTACACATCCTGACTGATTTTCCAGAGGGCTCATTCAGGGATGGAGAGGAATGAACCAGTTGGGAGCAATTTAGAATCACTCAAGACTCTTTCCAGGGCTCAAAGTTGAAGAACAAATGTTAAATCTATAGTTCTGCAGACTTGGACCCTTGCACAAGCCCCAGGCACAGGGTTCACATTCCTGCAGGGAAGACCCGGGAGATGACCTCCACAAAACAAGAAGGGGAGCAACTGTCCTCAAAAACCTCACCTCCCTAGAAAGTAGGTTTCATGGCCTCAGAAACTCTGGGGTGAAATAAAGGTAAACCAGACAAAGGGAGGTGTTACAACCATCATGCTTAGGCTAGACTTTAGGCCAGAAGTTGGCTCTTCTCATAGACATCTCCAGCCAGTCTTGGATGACTATACACTCTGGTTAGTCAGATTGACTGGTAAGAAGCAAGAGACACTTTATGGAAAAACTTTCTTCCTTCTTGTTTGTTATCCTGCCCAGCAGGGGAGTATAGAATAGGGGAGGGGCACATAGGAGAGAAGGAACAAAAGTAGAAGCTACAGGGAAGCAGGCCCATCTGAGGTCTAAGCTTTGTTGCTGAGACACAATGCCTAGAGGTGGGGCCTTCCTGGAAACCATAGCCCTTATTGCTGATTGCAGCTATGGTCCTTTGGCCGCTTCTCAACCTTAGGAGGCATGTGGTCAGCCAGATTCTTAGTTCATCACTAGCAATATACACAAAGATTAGCACCTCCCTCTGGATAGGGCCCAGTCTTTTGGAAACAGAAGTCTGACCCAGCCACAGCTTGGGCGGGAAATAGTTAACCAATTAGGCCCAATGAAGTAGCACTTTGACCTAATTAAACACGTTTGGGCACCAGAACCCTCACAAAGCATACAAGTAGTAAGAGATTAGACATGGAGGGGTCTTGAAAAGTGGGAATGATAAAGCTGGTTTGAGTGATAAGGCTGTCCAATTTCCCAAGGTGAAGCAAGCAGGCTTTTGGCAATGTGGGAGAGGCAGAAACCTGAGACATTCCCTGCCAGGACATATGATCCCAACTAAGATTCAAGAAACAGGATTGTAACATTGAATGTGGGAGGGCAGGGCAGGCATAAAGCCTCTGCCTAGATGGGGGCAGAGCCTTCCAGGTAGAACTCAGCTTGTGGGCAGGGAAAAGAAATCCCTTTCTTGCCTCAAACCAGAGATGACTCCCTGATCCTTCTAAAGTTAGCAGTATCAGCCCTCCCTGAAATAATGGAGGACATTAAAAACAGTAATCAAGTTAAGGAATATTTTAGTGAATATCTTAAAAATCACAATCAATGTAAACAATCAGGGCATTTGAAGTACTTCAGGGCATTTGAAGGTCAGCCCCCCCATGCTGCCTCCATGTGTGTACCTATAAGTCCAGAAAAGGCAAGGTTAAGAGTAATGACATGGTTGAGGCAGGACAAGTCTGACTTTATGCATGGAACTTTTAGTTACTGCATCCAGAGAGATGGAGAGCCCTCATATATATCAGGGAATAACTGCACCCACCAACTTGGAATGGTAATGCAGGTCAAACCAGAACTAGACAATAAAAATGAAAGTCTGGCCAAAGAAGACAAATACACAGCTATAGTGGAGCAAATACCAGTGCCCAGGTATGAACACTGATCTGGTTTCCAGAAGGATCTGGTATTAGTCAACTTAGATGCCAT